TGATTATTATCAAATCATCTAATAGTTTAGACTCTTTACATGGTGGGGCAAAGGAGGGGCAAGAGGTCTAGACAGAGTGGCACATGCCTCTTTAGTAGTGAAAATCTCCTATGTAACTGAAGTCAACAAAATATCCACAAAAACACTTTAAAACTCTTTATGGCATCATTATTGCTTCTATCTCTTTTCTTCTCCTTTAGATGGGTAGGCTTAGAGAATTAGTTTTTACAAGTATTTTAAAGACATAAAAGTTGGGGGGAGCAAGAATCTACTCACTTTTTAAAGATGGCATTGCTTATTTCAGCAAGACAGTTCCACGCAGCAGAAAACTGTCTGTCGCATTATGAAACCAATGCAAGGACACAGGAGTCCTTAACCTGTATAGCCAAAGAAATCATACTACAAGAATAGGAAAACCTTAGACAAAGTTTCTTGAGTTTAACATTTAATATGTTATTCTTGTAATTTCTTCAGTTAAAGCTACATTTTCTTTTTGCAAATTATTGTTCTTTAAATGTATCTCTTGCATATCATCCCAAGTTTTTGTGTCACTTCTACAGAAGTGACAATTTTTACATTTTAAAGCTGAGAATAATTCCACTTACCAAAACCATTAAAATTTAAAATAACTCATCTACAAAGCTCTCAGATATTTATTTTAGTCTGTATAACAAAGTATGTCCTGCCAATTTCACAGTGTAGCTCTGAAAAAAAAAATCCCTGTCACTTTGTAAATGAAACTTCTGAAACTCGTGTCTGTGCCTTGACACTTTCATTTTTGTTTTTTGTACTGACTTTACTGTAACTTTAATTTGCTTTCTACATTCTGATATATTTCACGCTGTAAAAACAACTTACAGTAAAATTACAGTTGGCAACTTAATGAGCTCCTTTGTTTATGTCTTTTGTATTCCATGGTGTTCCTATAATGTCGTTTCCCTCTTCCTTGTATGCATTTAAGGAATACATGCAGTAAAGATGCACTTCTATTCTATTCTATTCTGTTTTTAGTTGTATTAGTAAATAAAAATCTGTTTCACAACATCCACAGGTATAAATGAGCCTGTCAGAGCTCAGATGGATCTGTCTATGAACTCCATGTTTCAAAATAAGCCCTGCACGATGGCAGCTCATCGTGAGATGTCTGTGTGTAAGCGACTTTTTTTTCTCTTCCCAGCCTCTTACCGATGGCGCTGAGCAGCCGCGGTTTGTGTCCTCTGTGAAACCACAAGATAAAGCGGCTGTTTCCACTAGCCTTACCTTCTCTTTCCTCGTTCTTGGCTTTTCCATCTCTGCTAAATCCGGCGACCGGAGCTCTAAACTTTCATCCCGCAGCAGCAGCAGAGAGACAGAGAAAAACAGTCATCCAAAGCCAGGGTACAAGTCCACTGTAGGTTATCCAGCGGTATATGTTACCAATAAACTTGAGAGTGAGAGGCTTGTGTGCTATGCAGCGGTGCTCCAAAGTTTCTCTGAGTGAAAGTTAATCCAGACTGCGTGCGCCATGTTCCCACAGGCGAACTTCTCCCCATAGCGGAATTTTTGTCCGGTGAGAGGCGGGGATCCGGTCGGCTCACCAGCTCACAGCAAGGTTTCAATTACTCTTCATGACATCAGAGAGGAGTTGAGTTACCTGACAGATATTCATTTCAGCAGACTTTTACACTGTGTTGGTGTAGTATGTTAACAGGAAGCCATACTTTGTGTAGGAATGAGGACTTGTTTAAAAATATATTATTTTATAGCATTTGGAGTCTATTGTAGAATATAGCCACCTACTCCGAGTGCTAGTGCCCTATACGGTTAAAAATAACGTTTGTTTAAAAAGACTTTAGACTGGAAGAAACATTATTAACATTATTGTGATTGGTGCAAAATTCTATGGACATGTAGACAAAGGGAACAGAGGTATTTAGTGGGTAAGGTGTTAGAGAAATGCAGATGGATAGATAATAGTACATTCTGCGAAAAGGATGAAAATGTCTGTACTAAACATGCACTTTAAGAAGAGGGAAGAACACAGGGTGACATATAAGAGATGAGGAAGGTGCACACAGAGGGTCCACATCTTATGCAAAATATGCAATCTGAAAGATATAGGAGACTGCAAGGTGGTGTCAGAGAAGAATGTCGCTAAACAGCATCAGATGGTTGTCTGTAGGTTGCATGGTTGCCTTTGTACATTAAGAAGAGGAAGAAAGTGAAGGCAGAGGCAAGGAGTAAGTGAAAGAAGTTGAAGAAAGAAGAATGTTGCACAGAGTTCAGGAAGAAGTTGAGGCATGCTCTGGGTGGAAGGAAAGAGTTACCCGATGTTACCTGTATATTAAAGATGGCCCACTAACAAAACAAATTAGCCTCTTTGACTGTGGTAATACAAACTTAAATATCAAGAAGGTAGGTAAGGCTCTTTGTTGATACTGATTTTTGAATATTTTATGGAATTATACATAAACTACTAACTTTTAACTACTAATACTGTACACTTCACTGTGGTGTGAAAACTACTTTAGATCAAAGCATTTATTGACCAGACATTAATAAAAAACTGAGCACTGTCTCCTAAAGGAACCACGTGACGATCCCACATTCTGAATCATCCAGAAGAAGCCCCATTTGCATATACAGTGGTCCCTCGTTTATCGCGGGAGTTACATTCTAAAAATAATCCGCGATAGGTGAAATCCACAAAGTAGCCAGCTTTATTTTTTACAATTATTACAGATGTTTTAGGGCTGTAAAGCCCCTCACTACACATTTTATACACTTTTCTCAGACAGGCATTAACATTTTCACACTTTTCTCTCTTTTTTAAACACTCTCAAAGTTCCAACCTTCGTAGAAAAAAAAGTCCAGTATTATACAATGAAACCAAAGATCAAACCCTGTATTCAGGTCAGGTCAGGACGCAGAACACAATGCACTGAAAAAAAAAAAGCATGCAAAATTGCACAAAAAAAAATCCAGTGAGGTTGCAAAGGTGTCCCGCGTTATCATCATCACCTTTATTTATAAAGCACTTTAAAACAACCACAGCTGACACAAAGTGCTGTACACTGGAACTATATAATAAAATCACATAAGATATAAATAAAAGCCAAATAAAATAAAAAGTAAAATACTTAATTAAATAACTAATTTAGTTACAAGAGAAACTAAGTCTCACTGAGGTTAAAAGCCAAAGAATAAAAGTGGACAGTGAAGGGGCCTCTCTAACATGCAAGGGCAAATTATTCCATAATTCAGGACCCACAATAGAAAAGGCCCCTCTGAGCTTCCTCCTGGATCTCGGTACCTCCAGGAGCAGCTGGTCAGCTGACCTGAGAGACTGACAGGGTGTGTGGGGATGAAGATGCTCACAGAGGTAAGGCGGGGCAAGATTGTGAAAGTATTTAAAAAGAAACATGAGAATTTTAAAATGAACTCTAAAAGACACAGGCAGCCAGTACAGAGAGGCAGAGAGTGCAGGCCAAATGTCTTACTTACTCATTTGTGGCAAAAAACTGAGGCCGTCATTTTTACAAATGCATTTTGTTTCTTATTTGTATAGTTAAATATTACGCTCATGCTTGTGATGTGGACATATGCAGTTTATGTGAAGAGATGCCTAACTTAAAGAGTAGAAGCAGGATAATAGCCAGTCTGATTCTGTTTCTATGGCAGTAATGATGCCTACAGACAAACACCTCTAAAGCTCAACATGTGACATTTAAGATCTGGAACTCTCAAGATGTTAAATAGGTTTCATTTTATGTTTTACACTGCGCAAATAAATCTTGAAAGTTTGGCTAAACTTAAAATTAGCTAGCAGGTCTATGCAAAACAGGGAGAAACTATTTGTTTGCTTGAAGTAACTCTGACATAACTCTAACATTTACATTTTTCTTATAGATTAAGCAAACTTGTTAGTGAACACTACTCTGGGTATTGCTAGTAACTGCTTTCAGTCTTTAGCCTAAGCTGCATTCATCACTGCAGTCCTTAGCCTCACATTTACCATACAGTTTTGAGAATGATATTGATTGTCTCGTTTAACTGTTAACAAAAGTAATAACAATAATAATAATATATAATAATAATCTCAATTATTTTGAGAACATTAAGCAAAATCTACATTGCAATCCTTCACAGCGTAGCAAAAATATAGCATTCAAGTCATAAAATTAACAGGTACAAAGAAGACAATGATAACAATATATCTTAACATTTAACAATATATCTTAACAAACTACTGTTTTTAAATCTAATTAGTTATTTTTTTTCTTTTTACATCTTACAACATAAAGTACATTTCAACATTTATTTCATATGTACAGCTATTTAAGTAATTTTTTCTCTTTCATGGCTTTACTTACAACATAATTTGCAGCATTCTGCAACTCATACAGTACAGTGCAAATACTTACAAATAGGCTACACATGTGCTGAAACATGAACATAAAACGCATCTAAAGTATAGGGTACAGAACTGCAACCATGATTTTATTCCGTGAATACTGAGGTCAACAGTAACCTTTCTTCCAGGACAGCCAAAGCTCCTCCTTTTTAATGAGATGTGTTTTCATGGCAGATATCTCCATCTGTCATCTCAGGAAAAGCACATGTGTTACTATTCATTTTAACAATGGCTCAGCTGAATTGAGTTACTGCAGTGAGTCATTATAGTTTGCCAGCATGGATTATTACAGCTGGCTCTTGAACTTGCACACCTCAATAAAATGCTCTTCTTATTAAATGTTAGTTAGTAAAAAACTATGGTGTCCTGCTAAGACCTACCAACATTTCTGTTACACTTTAGGAATAAGTTTATCTTGTCCTCAACAAGGCCATTTTGTTCCTTAGGTACAACCTCCACAACATCCCATATAGTAGACACCATAAATACACAGTACAATATTTCATAGTAATCCAAAGTTTTCAGTATTGGATAATAAATAAAGAATTGTAACAAAAAATATATATATATACACACATATATATATATATATATATATTTCCTTCTCTGTAGGTTTTGCCTAAATAGTATAAAGTCAGTGGAAATAAATCTTCTAAGTTTGTATTGCTGATCTAAAAATTAATGAAATCAAATTAACATGATCTGTGCAGGCCTTAGAACATCAAACGAGAGTTGAAGTTGTCCTGTTGGTCATTATTGACAGAAAGACTTGAGCGTAAAGACAAATAAAGCTTTCCATAAGAGAGACTGACTGTGAAGAAGATTCATCAGGAAATGAACAGGAAAATTTTTTGCTAATCCATATGAAAATAGATTTCATAGTGTCTTACGTATATAATATTGAACATTAGGATGAGGTTTTTTCCCTTTAGACATTTTTTCTCTTCTTCTTCATTTGTCTGCGTCGGGTCAATCTCAGACACAGTTTGTGGAGCCTCACTTCTCTGTCTTTTCTCTTAGCTCTCCTTGGGTTTGGCCTCCTGAGGTTCAGTTGTACTGCCTGTAGATGGTGTTGCTCCTCCACTGCTACGCTGGTCCACTGATCCTGCTGAGGAAGCTCGGCTTTTACCACGACTAGAGTACAGCTGTTGAATGAAGCAGAAGAACAAATGTTTTGTGATGCTACTTAGTATTTAGTTTTAGTGTTAGAGTTGACATACCTTAACTTTACTTAAAAATGTATATTTCATGCAGTTTTTCTAATCATCCACTACATGGGATTATTTACATACAGAACAAGTATAAAGCTTAAGAGAATGCACGGCTGAACATGTATTTTAAATCACTGTATGCAATGGAAATGTGTGTAGCATCATCTCATGATCCGATGATCAGTATTTCCATTTTTTTAGGCACCAAACTAAAATATGTAGCTGTATATAAAAGATTTAGAATTATAGCTCCATGTCCACAGACTGATGCATGGCCATTTTGACCATTAATGCTATGTCATAATATATCAGTCATAGTGACTGTGTACTTGATCTGACTTCTTCTGTTATACACAGTGATATAACTGTATTATATTCTTTAAAGCTAGGCCAGTTAAATACATCTACTGTATATGTTTGTATACTTACTTGCTGTCTGCCGTGCATTCCTCAAGCAGGAAGCAGGACTGAGACACATGTCCCAGAAGATGAGCTTGCACTTTGGTCAGTTGTCTCTGTTTAGCCAAAGTCTGGAATATTCTAGAAGTACAAAAAGCCCAGTCAAATGAAATGTCCGAGCACATGACAAAGGCAGAGAGCATATGAAAAGGCCACTAGAACAAAAAGAGAACTGGAGAGAGTATCTGTGTTAATGGATGTTCCCTATTTTGTGTTACACTATGTATGCCTTGTTGGGAATACACAGAACAAAGCCGAGTGTGCTGTTATCTCAGTGTTTGCACATGCCCTGTAATTACTAAGTAAATGTGTGAATTTTAGATATGGTGTGACACATGCTGAAAAATTACCCCCGATCAGATTATTCTAGAAAAAAAAGCAAGTAAAAATTCTCCGTATGACTTCCCTGTACTGGTAATAATACAGAGAATTTACACAGTGTGTTGCCTTACCTAACAGTACAGTTGCAGTGGTAAAGTGTCTTTGGCTCCTGGTTGTAGAAGCCATATTTCTCATGCTGGGATGGGATCTTGTCCCTACACTCATCGATATCCTTATAGATACCACATGACATTGCTGTAGAGAAGCATCGGCAGAAGTGGTCAGTTACTCCGTTGTAGGAAAATCAGTGAATATACTGAGATGTGGTTAGTATCAAATACCTGTGATATCAGGGCCTACTTCAGTCACAGTATGATTTTTGGTTGGTACAATGTTCTCCAGATTTTCTCTTCTGTCAGGAACAGATCCCAAAGGTGTCTCTGTTGCATTACTGCCTGTGTATGTTGTAGCGTTAGTAAGAGGAATGATGGAGGCAAAGGATGTAGGGACTGTGAATGCAGCAGCAGTATTGGAGGAAAGCTGTAAATCTGAAGTGCTATTCTCTAGGAGTTCTGCAGGTGTGGTAGAATTGATCACGGAGCTGTTCATGGTTTCATCTGTTGGCTTAGATTTGTACAATATGGGTGAATGAACCTCAGCATACAGAGCCATTTTAGTCTCCTTACACCTGCAAGTGAACCCAAAGGACGAACAAATTACAGAAATATTTAGTTTTCTTATTGTTCCCAAGTGTTGACTTGGAAGATGGATGCTTTCTCTCAGATCAAAATTAAGTTACAAATACCAGCCTGAAACCAGTCTGCACCAAAAGAGATCAAAACGATAAACTGTATAGAAAAGATGGACTTAATTCAATTCAATTCAATTTTATTTATATAGCGCCAAATCACAACAACAGTCACCTCAAGGCACTTTATATTGTAAGGTAGACCCTACAATAATACATACAGAGAAAAACCAAACAATCAAATAACCCCCTATGAGCAAGCACTTTGTCAACAGCGGGAAGGAAAAACTCCCTTTTAACAGGAAGAATATCCTCCGGCAGAACCAGGCTCAGGGAGGGGCGGGGTAATCTGCTGCAAACGGTTGGGGGGAGAGAAGGAAGACAGGATAGAAGACACTTAGCTACAGTGACTTCGCCTATTACTTAGTGAGGTATTCACTAAGTCTGGAAACTAGTGATTGAAGCCATGAACTCATCAACTAATCGTTTAAAGAGGTCATAGAGGATGAGAGACTTCACTACAAGCAGACTTCTATCTATCTATCTATCTATCTATCTATCTATCTATCTATCTATCTATCTATCTATCTATCTATCTATCTATCTATCTATCTATCTATCTATCTGTTGCTGAAAACAAGGAGTAATGGCAAGCTTATCTAGTTTTAGTAATAATCAATACTTCATGCTTTATGTATTGATTAGCTGTATATGTAAACTATAATATTCACTAGATAATTAGTTTGGATTTAGCTACACACTCAAAAACTCTCAATTTGGCTATAGCTAAACCTAGAATTAAGTTGCCTGACTAAATTGTTTGAACTAATCCATTTTTGTCATATGAAAAATTATCTTAACACTTGGTCTTGCATGGAAAAAAAAAGAAAATGTAGCTTGGTGTTTTGACATTACAGGTGAGGTAAATAAGTATGGAGTTAATTTAAGTTAGCTGGTTAGTTGGCTGATAGAGTCAGGCTAGCTTTTTTTTCTTTCTGACTCAGTAAAACTGGGTCAAAAAGATGACACCTTATCAAAGATATTACCTTTAGTCCAGGTATATGCTTTTCAGACTTGTTTTCTAGATGTAAAAAGAGGCGAAAGTCTCCACTGTTTCCTGTAATTAGCTTGAGATCCAATTAGCTTTATCTCGACCAAAGTAGTGAACTACCAAAGCAATTTGTAAACCTGCTAGCAATCTAAGGGACAGATGCCTCAAACCCAGAACAAATAAAACTATAATGGCTGGATACCATGAGAGGTCAGGGAGAAATAACAATACTGGATGAATCATAGACCTTCACAATTACACAAAGTCATTTTATTTCCATCACAGCTTTACTTACATTCCAAACCAGTTTCTCTGTGTACACTGAAGCCGGTGGGAGAATGTAAAGCAGTGCATCTTCAGCAGGTTAAAGAAGGTATATCCCACTACATCAGCTATGCCGTCATCCGCCTCCACCAAACAACTTCGAAACCTTTAACATATTTGATGCCATAATTTTAAGAAAGAATCAACATCAAAGCACATGCAACAAACCAGCTGAAAAATAATCAGGAAAGGATAGGATAATTACTTGTTATCACAGTCACAATGAGACATGGTGAAGATGTTGCTGTTGAAAATGCCAAACTCTGAGTGAAAGGACAGGATGGTGTGTCTGCACTGATCGTGCTCCCGGCAGCAACGGTCGGTCTCTGAAAACACTCCTGCAACAGGTCAAAACATATATAGAAGGTGTGGATTAAAAGA